CAGGTGAAACCTCCGATATCACATGTACATACGAGGTGACAAAGAACAAATACAAATCCTTAAGTTATTCGCATTTATTGACTTGCATTTACACATTCAGACACCTACAAACATTTTTATGACGGTTATTGTACCACACCATAATGCTGTAGTTGCTGGAGGTTTCTTCCTGTTAAAAGGGAGTTTTTCCTCTCCACTGTCGCTACAAGCATGCTTAGTGTGAATTGGCGCTATAGAAATGAACTGAATTGAAATTCAATGAAGGAGAAGATCGATCAAACTTGGCGCTGCTTCCTTCTGAACTGCTCTTTATTATTTGCTGATGCTCACCAAGGTGTTTTTTTTTTTTTTTTTAACGGCACTAGTGGCTAATTTTTCTGGCAGCAGGCTGGCAGGAAAGGGCGAATGAGAGAGGGAGAGACATGCAGCACAGGACCAAAGGTCGGATTGAAACCCGGGTCGGCCACGTTAAGGACTCAGCCGTCTGTAAATGGGTCGTGCGCGCTAACCACTGCGCCACCTGCACGCCCAAATCGCCAAGGTTTTTTAAACATTCTGCTAATTAAAGGTTAGCATTAGCGGAGCTAACAACGATTAAAGTTGAGAGAGAGAGAGAGAGAGAGAGAGAGAGAGAGAGAGAGAGAGTGCCACTTACTGGCCAGCAGGAGTTTAACATACCGGTAATAATTTTAAATTTAAGTTTAATATAATATTTTGTAAATATTTTCTTTAAAAAAATAAAAAAACTTTAAGTTAACACTTAAAACTACATAAAATGCTGACCTTCAATCACTGACATCATAGACGTTTAGTATACTGAATTATCAGACGTGTCGTAACATTGTTACTACATATTACAACATTGCGATAACATAACATTAAGCAATTGTTCAGCCAATAGATCATCTTTAAAGGATCAGTCTGTATTGATTTTGACACGATTAAGTATCTCTGAGGTTTTTCTAATATAACTGATTATATATAACTCCAGATTTCATCCCCATCATAGGGTGAGCCAGAAGGTTGGATGGATCCTCCCTGCGTTCACGCCCACCACCAACAAACCTCCTAGCAGACATGACGCTCAATCTGCTGCCACCAAAAACCTTCTTCTTGGGGCGGTCGGGAAGCAGCAGCTCAAATCTTTATATGCAGGCCGGGCTAATCGCTGCCCCCCTCAGGACGCTGGCTTATGCATCATTTCATGGGCATTACGCTGCCTACATTATGCAGAAGTTAGGCTGTCGTAGGACAGAAGTTCTGGACTCCTTATGTGTACTCTATGTATAGAGTATAGAAAATAGAAAAACACATAGAAAGTTCAGCGTATGCCTGAGTTTTAGGAGATTCTGGGACGCCGGGTAAACACTGGATAAATCAGCAAGGTGTGACAGGGACCCCTGAAGCAAGCAGTGAAACAGCAGGAGGAAGTTCAAAAATAAAAATCGAAGTTGGCCGAAGATCTCGGAGTCGTTAGCACGACGCACCCCGTATGAGAAAACGTCTCAGAAATATTTATTTTGGTAATTTCGTTTGAATACCTGAAGGATTTTGAAAAGAAAACCTGAAGGCTGCCGTAGCGCTGCCTC